GACTGATGTTTGCTGATTTATTGATATGGATATTTGTGCTTTGGAAACAAGATTTCAGTCAGTGACTCACTGCTTATGGTCAGTAGCTTTTAGAGAGGAACATATTACTCTCCACATTCCTTTTCTCAAGTGCGTCGTAAATGGGCTTCAGTTCTGTTCACTGCCAACTCCAAATAGTCACTGCCTGACTTTTTGTAGAACTTGTCTCTGCAATGTTGGTTCATTTGCCCCTACTACCCAGAAGTCAGGGGATCATTTCAGACATAGCCCCTGCACTGGTCTGGGATGGCATCGGTGACAGAAATGGTGGTGTGAGGGATATGTGAAGAAACACCTTGATGGCCCACAGTATGGACGTCTTGATCTGTGAAGGAGTTGGGGCCTTGTGTGCAAAAGTTGGCCTGATCGTTAAGAATGTGCAGATGGTTCTCTGGGAACCATTGTTGTTGTTGCTGCTGCTGTTGTGTGTGTGTCCTGATCCTAGGGCTTGAACTCAGGGCCTGGGCGCTGTCTCTGAGCTTTTTTGCTCAGGGACAGCTAGCTAGCACTGTATCATTTTGAGCCACAGCGCCACTTCTGGCATTTTAGCAATTAATTGGAGATAAGAGTCTCATAGGACTTTGCTGCCTGGGATTCTCAGATCTCAGTCTCCTGAATAGCTAAGAGCCACAAGCATCAAATTTTGAAGAGGTTTTGAAGAAAAGCTGCTGTGTCAAACAGTTCAAACCATTCAAATTGTTAGAAAGGTTTGGGCTTTAACTGGATTTGCAATGATGACTAGCATGATGAACTTGGCTTCTGGGATTGGAAATCTATTAGGTTAGTATATAAAAAAACATGAGAAAATAGAGGGATACAGACCTACAGTTGGATTGTCAACATCCCCTCAGAGTACTGGCTTATTAATAAAAAGAAATTGATCTATTCTCCTTCATGATGACATCTAGTAGTTTCTTGCCAAACACAGTTACAAAGTTTTGGTCCCAAATCAAAAGTACTGACTCACTGTATCCCAAACAGCTTTAACATATGCCAAATCCAACATGTGGGCCATATGTGGAATGAGCTAGGAGGTCTGGCACAGACTCTGAGTGGTGTCAAGCTGGTTTAACATGTGGTGACCACAGAGGTATGAGACATAAAATGATACTCTGCAGTACACCAGAAAAATCTAATTCTTTATAAAGCCTAATCAGATGTCAATCTGTCTTCCTAAGACAAGCTTGATCACAAAATAAATAATCCAGAAGTCAGCTAAAGTATTTTTAAGAGCCCATCTTCTTTAGTTGGATTGGAGCATAGAACACTTCACCCATTCATTGTCAAGAAGAAAGTTCGGAAAACTTAGGATCCAGATGTGCAAGGCTCCAAATGATTCATTAACAAAATTCCCCAGATCTTCTCTGATAAATTCCAATATGAAGCACTTGAAATAAAGTCTTCAGTCATGAGAATGGATAGAATATATGCCACAAGTAACTGGATTGGTTATTGTTTGTGTTTAACCTTAGGTTCTATACTCTTTTAAATTCTTTTGAAACAGCTTCTTTTTTCACTACTTGTATCTCCCAGGAAATTATAATTTGTGCCAGTGTGCATTGCTCATGTTAACATTAATGTTCCTAGAGAGTCAAGTCACCTAAATATATTGTATGTTACATATACTGAGATGTGCTAAACATTGACCAATTAAATCTGGTAGTTTTTCTGCAGTGTGGCTGATCTAGATTGGATCTGAACAGGTCTCCATGTCTTCTCTACAAGTTTAGTTATCATAAGGAAGATTCCAGAAAATTTGCAGAGTATTATTCTTAACTCTTCCAGATGCATCAGAAAGCCAGAGGACTGCTAGACCCACTTTACCCACAAGAAATCCTTAGAAAAGGGCATATTTGGTACCAGGAATTTCCTTTGCTCTATCGACTGGCCCAAAAGAATTATGACTCCACCAGAATCTGTGTTGAGCTTACACAATCTGCCTGGGGTGGGTTTATAGCTCCACCCCTAAGGTAGGTATGTGGGGTAAATGGCCAAAGTCAGTTAGCAGAACGGCCCATTTCCTGGAAGGGTCCAAAGCCAGCCTGGTCAGGAAAGCCCATGAGACTGTTATCCCCAATAAACTACTCAGAAGAATCTAGAAGTGGTCCTGTGGCTCAAGTGATAGAGCTTTGAGCAAAAGAAACTCAGGAAAAGAGCCCAGGCCTGGAGTTCAAGCCTTACGACTGGCAAAATAACAACAACAACAACAACAACAACAATAATAATCTTTAAGTAGTTATACAACAGTGTTTCCATTTAACATGTCAGTTTTATGAGTATAATGCATCTTGATAAGTTCTCCCCATTTCTCCCAACTGTACCTGGTTTTGGACTTCACAAATGCTAAGCTAGTACTCTACCACTTGAGTCAAATCACCAGCCCTGATTTATGCTGGCTGTTTTTGGAGATGAATTCTAGTACCCTTTTCTGCCTAGGATGGTCTCCAAATAAAGCCATATGGATTTTAGCCTCCTGAGTAGCTCGGCTTACAGTCTTAAGCCACCAGCACCCACAGTTTTATGCATACTTTTTACTGAAGATCCTTACAAAAATATTTCTTTTTAATAGAATTGAGTAATGAATTGCATTTTGGTTTGATACTGAAGTTTGCAGCAGAGGCAGCCAGTTATAAATAGAACTTCCCCATATACTCCTATTAATGCACAGTGTTAAAGCATATTATTCTTTACATGTGGTGGCCATCAGTATGGATATACATATGGAGATTTTTTTTAGATAATGTTACAAATGGGTTACATCTGTCAAGTAGATTATAAAATAAAAGCAGAAACAATTTCTAATGGAAAGAAAATAAAGACATGCCTTCCCCATTTTTTTTTTATGCTGGGTTTGAACTCAGGGCCTATTGGTTAGATTTTTTTCCTGAAGGCTAGTGCTCTGCTCTACCACTTGAGCCACAGTTCCACTTCTGGATTTTTGGTGGTTAATTGGAGATAAGAGTTTCCTGCCAGGGCTGGCTTGATGCTCAGATCTCAGCCTCCTGGGTAGTGAGGATTACAGGTATGAGCCACCAGTATCTAGCTGTTCCCCCTTTCTTAAGCCTTTAAATAACTGTATTTTTTGTCACTGAATGAATGGGAAACAGTTGTGTGCATTGGATGAAGTTGCCAATAGGAGAAAAAAGTCCAGTTACCAACTGCATATGGGCTTATTTTGGGTTCCTGGAACTGAGAGCACATCAGCATGTCTTCTGAGATTTGCACATGGCATGTTATTACAGCTGTATATCATCAGAGAGAGAGAAAAAATAATTGGTTTTCCTTGGAGTATCTCTAAGTTGATGTCATATTCAATAACCCTGTAGTTGAAAAATCTATATGTGATGGATGAAGTTTGGACTATCTTTTGAATTTAATTCATCCTGTGCCAGCTTCTGCAGGCCCTGGTGTACCTGTCAGTTTGAACTGAGAGCTTTTGCAGTAGTTAGAGAATGTAACCAGGTGCTACTTCTGCCAGATAACCAACTACAGGAGAACAACTTTTCACACATGTGCAGTGAACTCATTCATCACTGTTAACTATGCCAGGGAGGGGTTAGTCTGCATTTGAACCTCATGCTGGAGTCAGGGCCAAGCCATTGCTTTGAATCAAGGCTGTGCATTATTTTGTGAGAATAGTGGTATTCTTTCCCCCATGTTTGAGGGCTCCTGGGACATACAGGTTTCTGACCTGGGATCCCAGTCACATCTTCCCCAAGAACGTTTTCTTGACAGAGTACATAATGCTTTTGGATCAACTGATGTTGACTTTCAAAGAGGTATTTGGAACTCTGCCTCTCGTCCAGACAGAGCAAAACCAGCCTGGATGTATTTAGTGAGAAAACAGAGTATTTTAGATTAAAAATAGTGCCCTTCTTTCTTCTTTTTAGTAGCTGGCCTTTCTTGTTTATCCTGGACCAGTGGGTGCACACATGGACACGAAACCCTAGATTAGTTGGCCAATACTATTCATTTGGCTTTTCCTGTTTTATCAGAATTATGTGTCTGGCCTTGGGCCTGATCTTAGGATATCTCTTCTGTTAGTGTAAAACTTCAATTGTGTGGAAACTGGCTTGGTTTAGAACTTTGGGATAAGCCAGGCCCAAAGAAACATAGGTCCCATGGTTTCCCTTATTTGCAATAACTAGTATATGTCTGAGTCAAGCAGAAAAGGTCAGATAAGTTGATGTTAGGGAAATGAACCCTAAGATATGTATTCAAATGTTTTTTTTCTTTCATGCGATTGTTTCTAACACATTTATAAGATTATATCTTTGTTGCTTTGTATGTCCCTCCCCCACGGTATAACCCCTGCTTTCCCTGTATTTGATGTTGGTATAATTTGTGGAGGGGAAGGGAAAAAACAAAATAGGGATACAGGTGGACCCATTGCAACAATGAGATGTACAAGTCTTTATGTCGAAAACAAACTTTATAACTTTGGGGGGGGAGGAGTGGGTTGGGGTGGGGGGAAAGATGGGAAGGGATGGGAAGGGGAAACAAAGGAGGAGGCTACAATGCTTGATAAGAAATGTACTTATTATCTTGTCCATGTAATTGTAACCCCTCTGTATAGTATTTTCACAATAAAAAAAAGAAAAGAAATAAAAGAAAAAAGGAGAGAAAAAAAGAACCTTGGGATAAGAGCTAACTCTGATCTCCAGCTGTAAGTACTACATCCAAATTTTAAAAATGAGTGAAATTCAGATTAATCTGTTTACTTGACTTCCGTTTGATGCCAAAAAACAGCTAATATATTTGGTTAGAGAAGAATATAAACCTCTGTTAGTTTGTATGCCGCCGATTTGAAATGTATGTAATTTTGATGAAATTAATCTCACCTCTGAAGGCAGAGCTGTTTAGATTGATAACAAGGAGAAGGTAAACTACTATACTATTATTTTATTTAAATACATAATGATTGTTGAAGTGAATACATGACGAAAATAGCATTCCCTTACCTATTAGCAGAGCTTCTTTCTCTGATTTTAAGCCTTGGCTTCTTTTCTCAATATTATTCTCTCGATCTTGGTTGACCAAGGCAACTGTCAACACATTGATTTCCTATAAGTTCAAAAACAAAGACAATCTATAAATTTCTGTAGATTTTGTGCATTTCAATAAAAATCATCAGGGTTGAAAAGTTCCATAAATGAAATAACCACTTCCATTTAGTAACTGAAGATGAAATCTTATGAACAATCCATCTATTTGCCCAACAGTAGAAGAGTATACCACAAAACTTAAGTTTCCTAACTTATGCTTCCAGGAAACCAAGCAACTTCATGAATAGAAAGTTTTGTACAAATTATCTTAGATTTTTGTCTATGTTTTGATTTAACTCTGGTCATGAAAGCTGTATTTAACTGTCATAACTTTAATGTTTTATTTCAAATAAGAAAACATTTCTGGTTAAGTTTGTGCCAAGCTGATTTATAATACCATGTGGAAAAGTTTAGGAAGTAGGCAGGGAATGGAGCCTCTTAGAAAGGCAAGATGGAACTGTTGATATAAGTATTTAAGTTGAGTAGCTATGAATCCTCGTGCAGACTCAGAAAAGGCAGATAAAGCAAAAGTCGGGAGACTCTTTTCTTCAGTAACAAAGAATAAAGATTTGTACAAGCCAATAAGACCTGAAGAACTAAAGCTGGGCTATTTTTAGTTCTTTCTATAGTTAATTTAAAGGTAGATAAAGCTTTATTCACACCCTTCTGATCTTGATATCAAGACTCAAAATGGAGAGTGATGTAAAAGAAACTTAACAGCCAGAATATATGGAATTGTAAGAAGTTGAATGCTGATGGAGGAAAGTTGCTCTCTGAAAGGTTGTTCTCAAGAGAGAGCCAAGATGGCTGAGTAGAGGAGCCCTGTACACAACTCTGACAGAGAGAAATATTGGTGTAACAAAGGAAAATCTATATTTTAGAGTGAGTGTGAAAGAACTCTAGAAATCTTCAAAAATGACAAAAACTAGAAAGAGCATAGAGTTAGACAGGAAATATTGAGAAACAAGGGAAACAAAAACTTCAATCCTAGCTCCGTGGTTTGAGCCAGACAGGGGTCAAATTCTGAATCACCAGGAAAAGGTAAAAAATACCAGCAATCCTCATCATAGACTGGTAGTCCTAACTTGAGGAGGAGCCACAGTCCTATGGGCTTTAACAAGTTTGCTAGTTTAAAGACAACTGTCTCCAAAGGAGACATTCACTTACTAGACTCCCTCATCTACCAGAACCAAGCTGCTACAGCTGGCACTGGTGCTCTTTATCTTGCTTTAGAAGCCTCAAGTATCTGTTGCCTTACAAAGCTGCTTACATCATGGTAGCTAAGAAGCAAAGAGGGAGATGAAGGGGTCAGGGTTCCAAAATCCCCTTCAGGGATACACCTCCAATGACCTAACTTCCTCCAACGAGGTTCTACTTTTAAGAGTTTCCACTCTCTGTTCCAAGTAGTTTATAAAATATGGGCCTTTGAGACATCTTTCAGATTCAAACTCTGACAATCATACTAAATAGGGAAATGATAAAAGGATTCCTCTAAGATCAGGAACAAAAGGTGTCTATCTTCATTACTTTTTCACAATATAAGCTTTAGCTAGAACGATTAGGCAAGAGAACAAAATAAAATTGGAAAGGAAGAGTTTTAATCATCCATGTTCACAGATGACATTATTCTGATACATACAGGAACTTTAATACTCCACCAAAAGCTGTTTCAATTGGTAAATGAATTCAGAAAGTTGCAGGATGCAAAGTCAACATAAAAAAATGAAAACACTTTAATATACCAAAATCAAACTTACTGCACAAGAAATCAAGAAAATAGTTCCACTTGCTATAAATCTACAAATCACTATAAATACTATTTGTACTCAGTAGGAAAGGCAGGAGGATCATGAGTTTGAGGTCAGCCTAAGCTACACAAAAAAGAAATTGGGAATAAAGTTAACTAAGGAACTGAAAGATCTCTGCAAAGAAAATTATAGAACACTGCTGAAAAAATTAGAGAAAACAGTGACAAGATATTCTGTGTTCATGATTTGGAAGAATTAATGTTAAAATGACCATACTACCCCCTCCCAAACCTACAGATTCAATGTATTTCCTGCCAAAACCAATAATTTATATCAAATAAATAAAGCAGTCATAGCAGGAAGAACTAAAAACAGCAAAATTCATGTAGAATGACAAAAAAATGACTAGCCAAAGCAATCTCAAACAAAAACAAGCAAAAACACATATAAAACAACAACAACAAAACTAGAGGAATTATAATACCCAACTTCAAAACTTGCTACAAAGCTAGAGTAAATAAACTGTATTATACTGGTATAAAAATAAACATATCTCAATGGATAAATAATCCATAATTAATAAAGCCAATCAAACTTTCACAAAGGTGCCAAGGTCATAGATTAAAAAAGGACAGTTTTTCCAATAAATAGTGCTAGAAAGATTGAATACACATTCATATATCTCATATATATTATGTAATATAATATATCCCATACATAAAAATATATCCAGGATACATAGATTTAGAAATATGCATAGAATTACATAGAACATATGTGCATGTATGTGTGTGAATGCAGAAAATTGAAACTGGATCCCTTCCTCTCACTGAATATAAAATGAATCAAAGCCTTAAATGTAAAACATGAAATCACCACATGAAAACACAGGGAATCTAAGACATTGGTATAGCCAGGGATTCTTACAGACAGGTCTCTGAAGGCAGAGGTAATAAAAGGAAAATAGACAAATGGGATTATATCAAACTAAGAAGCTCCTGCACAGCAAAGGAAGTAATCAACAGAATTCAGAGGTGAGGTTTGGGATGGGAGATAATACTTGCAAACTATTTATCTGAGTTCTTGATTTCTTTTTCAGCAAGTTCGTTTTTGGTATATAAAAATGTTTTCATTTTTCTGTATGTTGATTTTGTATGTTAATATCCAGGATATACATAAGGAACTAAGAAAAGCTGAGACCTTATACCACCAAATAATCCAATTAAAATAAAAAGACACTTCTCCAAAAAGAAGACAACTGATTAAAAGAAAGTATGCAAAATATACTGTCTCACTAATTATCAGAGACAAGCAAATCAAAACTATAATGAGATATTGTCTTAGTGTGTAAAAATGGCTATCATCAAAAAGACATAAAGTAACAAATGCTGATGGGGATTTGGTAATAAAAGGAAAGTCTCATACATTGTTGGTAGAATACAAATTAGTTACAAACATTATGGAAAACAGTATGGTTCCACAAAAAACTGAGGATGTATAACTGCCAAGTCATCCAGTAACTTTACTATTGAACATACCTCCAAAGGAAATGAAATCAACATACCAAAAATATACCTGCATTCTCATGTTTATTGCAGCATTACTAATAGTAGCTTAGATATGGAAGCAACATAGATTCCCATCCATGGATGAATGAAGGGAGTATGTTACCAATATTCAGCCATAGAAAGAATAAAATTCTGTCACTTGTAGCAATGTACATGGTGCTGACTCATGACATTAAACAAAATAAGCCAGACATGGAAAGATGAATGCCATATATTCTCATGCATTTGTAGGAACTAGAAAGTCAATTTCGTGGTAAAAGAGTAGATACTGCAGAATGGAAAGTGTAGGAGGTAGGAAATGCCTCCATCAGGAAGAATGACACAGCCCCATTTGTTAGGAAATGGAAAGACTTGGAAAAAATTATATTAAGTGAAGTAAGCCAGGCCCAAAGAAACACAGGTCCCAAGGTTTCCTTTATTTGCAATAACTAGTATATGTCTAGGGCAAGCAGAAAAGGTCAAAAGCTATATACATATGACCATATAAGAAGATGCTAAGTGAAATGAACCCAAGACAGGGACACAAGAGGTTTTATCTTTCTTGCTGTTGTTTTTGGTGTACTTATAGTGCACTATGTGATTTTTTTTGTTTCTTTTGTATGTTCTTCTCCCATGATATAACTCTTGTTTTCACTGTATTTGAGTCCAGTGCCTTGCGTTTTGTGTATGTATTTTTCTAATTTGGGGAGGGGAAGGGAAATAACAAAATGTTGAAATAGGATACAGATTGATCCATTGTAGTAATGAGATGTACAAGACACTATGTTGAAAACAAACTTTACAACTTGCGAGGGGGTTGAGGGGGAGCAGTTGTGGAGGTGGGGAGGGAAGGGATGGTAGAGGAAAAACAAAGGGAGGGTTAACAGTGCTTGATAAGAAATGTACTCATTATCTTCCTCATGTAACTGTAACCCCTCTGTACAGTATCTTTACATTAAAAATCTATTTTAAAAAAGAAAATGGAAAGAAGTTAGATAAAGACATCAAAATACAGAGAGGAAGAGCAATTTTTTTCTGGTTTTCTATAACCCAGTAGGATAATGATTGGGTAAAACAATATACTTCAGGGCTACAAGGGTACAAAATTCATAACACAAAAAATTATTAATATTGTGAGAGATGGAAGTATTCACTACATTGATTTGATTGTAAACATGTATCTAATTGCCAAAATGTTCCCCATAAAGAGGTACAAATATTATATATCTACAAAGAAAGATGGCTCTAGAGAAAGACTAGGATATTGAACAAGAGTTAAATATCCTCTTTGCATTAAGTGGTGAGAAATTAGAAATTTTGACAAACTAACCAAGCAGAGAATACTCCCCATTTAAATATAAAAATAAACTTAGCACATCAAAATAGACCTTCATTTAACATATGAGCTACTAGTTTGCAAATTAGGAGTAGTTAGAAATTGCTAGGAAAGAAACTGAGAAGTTGTAGGAATTGAGGAACACCTTGGAAGCTTCGTTTAGTCAGACTTACCTGCTGAAAACTAAGTAATTAAGAGTAGGTGGTGACAGTAGGTGAAGAATTGAAGGAATCAGTGATATAGAGAAGGAGTAGGGAGAAGATCTTGGCTGATCAGAGGGTATCAGCTGAGGCCTGGGACTGGTCGTGGAAATCTCCCCATGAGAGCAGGGATTGGAACAGGGACGGAGGAGGGGAAACATTTTTTCTGTCAAGGTCTATTTGAATGT